CCATCATGTGACTTCGGGAAGGGCCCAAGCAAGTCCATGCCGATTCGTTCAAACGGTTGTGACGGGGGTGCAACAGGCTGCAATAAACCAGCAGGGCGCACAGGTGGGGCTTTACGGCGCTGGCAATGATTGCACGTTTTAACATAATGCTTGACATCCTGGGTGAGCTTTGGCCAGTAGTAGCGAGTCCGAATCCGGGCAAGGGTACGTTCTAATCCTAGGTAGCCGGAGGAAGGCTCGTCGTGGCAGGCAGATAAAATGTCAGCACGTAGCCTTGGTGGAACGACGAGGAGGTACTCAGTTGCATAAGGTTCGAAGTTATTTTTGTAGACGATGTTGTTGCGGAGACGAAATGACCATTAACGTGCGAATGCCGATGGTGGACTCGAGCTGCGACCTTGAAGGTAATTGATAAGTTGTTGGATCTCTGAATCATTCCACTGTTGTTGGGCCAAGTCAGATTCACTGACTGCACAAAGAAAATGGCCATCGGTATCATCGTCCCTCGATGTCGTCGCGAGGGGTGTGCGCGAAAGGCAATCAGCATCAGTGTGCCTGCGGCCCGACTTGTAGACGACTGTAACCTCAAATTCTTGAAGGCGTAAGCTCCACCTCGCGAGGCGCCCTGAACGGTCCTTGAGATTGGCCAGCCAACAGAGGGCATGATGGTCCGTAACTACTCTGAATGGACGGCCATACAGATACGGTCGGAACTTTGTTATCGCCCAAATAACAGCAAGACATTCCTTCTCCGTGGTCGAGTAGTTAGTTTCCGCAGATGACAAAATGCGGCTAGCATAAGCGATGGGACGTTCAGCGCCGTCTTGCCACTGGACGAGTACTGCACCAAGACCGATGTTGCTTGCGTCAGTGTGAAGTTCGGTGGTGGCATCTTCATCAAAGTGCCCTAGTCAGAGTTCACTCTGAAGGCACTGCTGAAGCTCGAAAAAAGCGGCTCTCTGCTCTGGACCCCACACAAAAGGAGTATCCTCCTTCGTTAAACGGGTAAGGGGTTCAGCGATGTTGGCAAAGCTCTGGACAAAGCGCCTGTGGTGGGCGCAGAGACCCAAAAACCGGCGCAAATCCCGTTTGTTCGAAGGTGGAGGAAATGCAGCAACAGCCATGGTCTTTTCTGGGTCTGGTCTAATGCCATCGTGACTGATAAGGTGGCCGAGGAACTTTAGCTCTTCGTAGCCGAAATGACACTTCTCCGGTTTTAGCGATAGGCCTGCGGATCGAATAGCGACGAAGACGGACTGAAGTCGTTGTAAATGTTGCTCAAGTGTTTTGGAAAAAACAACGACGTCGTCTAAATACACGAGGCAGGACTCCCACTTCAGACCGGACGGGACGGTGTCCATCATCCTTTGGAACGTTGCCGGTGCAGAGCACAATCCAAATGGTAACACTTTGAATTCGTAGAGGCCATCGGGAGTTATGAATGCTGTTTTTCCCTGTCACTGTTCATCGACCTCGATCTGCCAGTATCCGCTGCGTAAACCCATTGAGGAAAAATATCGGGCATGTCGAAGTCGATCCAGTGAATAATCTATGCGTGGGAGAGGGTAGACGTCTCTCTTCGTCACTTTGTTGAGCTTCCGGTATCGACGCAAAATCGAAGAGTGCCGTCTTTCTTTTTAACAAGTACGACGGGTGACGCCCATGGACTCTTCGAGGGTTGGATGACGTCGTCGTCGAGCATCTGTTTGACTTGAAAACGTATTGCCTCTTGTTCTTTTTGCGACACGCGGTAGGCGTGCTGTCGTACAGGCCGTTCGGTAGGGTCCGTTATAGTGTGGTGCTTCACGGTTGGGGTCTGCTTGATTTTGGAGGTGGACGCAAAGCAATCACTATACGTACGTAAAATCATGCGTATCTGCTGTTGCTGCGCACAGGATAGCTAGCAATTCACGTCAACTGTACTGGCTAATACAGTGTTACCTTCGGCAGCAGTGGAAATCGGAGCGATAGTGGAACATTCTTCGTCATCGATGGCTTAAAGTTCGCGATTGCTGTTCGCTTTGCCAAGTGCTGGTACTGGCCGCCGAAATTCGTGATCAGAAGCTGAGTCCTCCGATGTTTCAGTTTTACGATAGCACGCGCGACACAAATGTTCCGAGCCAAGAGCACCGAGAGGTTAGTTTCCACGATGCCACTACTCTTGTTGTCACAGTCGCTCTCCACAGTTACCAACATACTGGCTCGCGGCGGCAGTGGGATGGTGTCGTCAGCAATTCGAAGTGTTGTGGTCGGCGCAACTGCATCCTTTCGTAGGGCTGTATGGTCGTTAGATAACGTTATGAGCAGGTCGCGAAGGTTAATAATGGCTCTATGCTTGCGGAGAAAATACATTCCGAGAATCAGATTTTGAGAGCATTACGCGCAATACAACGAAAGAAACAATGTACGTCGACTCACGAATTCGGAGGCGGGCAGTGCACATTCCTAGCGGTGTCAATAGGTGATCTCCCGCAGTCCGGAGGGTGGTTCCATGTCACCAAGGTGTCGTTACCTTTCTTAGCTGTGCAGCGAGGTCAGCGCTTATAACAGAATTATCGGCACCCGTATCTACCAGAGCGGTCAGCGGGTGGTTGTCGACAAGGACAGAGATACGAGCAGAGACCCGTTTGTCGTCGATGGCACACGTCGGTGAAAGAATGTCGTCGGATGTCGGAAGGCAAATCGGGGGAGGGTCTTGTAACGGCCGATCAACAGTGGCCTCACCCCCAGAGGTCGTTGTTCTTAGTTTCCCCGGCGCGGGCTTGTGGATCTAGGCGATCTTCCTGCAAGGACGTCCGCAAAGGTTGATTGTTGGCCAGGTGACGTGGAACGCCATGGAGATGGTGAGCGGCATTGGCGACGCGGAAGGGTTGAAGATCGTTGGCTTGCCAAGTATTCGGCGATAGCACGGGGCCGCTCACCATCTCTGGGTCGACGAGCATCCGGACGAAAGCCAGGAACACCCATGTGCCTGTAGGTGCACTCACGGTAGATGCGACCTGGTTCACCACAGTGATAACATAGAGGCCGGTTGTCGGGAGCACGCCATACACTGGATTTCCGTGTAAGGGGTGGGTTGCCGTACTGCGGTGGTCCCGAGTAGAACGACGGTGCCGTCTGCAGGGTGGACGGACGGGACGGATAGCCAACAGCCGGTGCAGGAGTACGTAGTGTTTCCGCGTACGTTAATAGTGGAGCTTCGGCTGGACGCGGGGCCGTCATGGGTTGGACTTCGGCTGCACGCAGAGTCTTCATGGGGTGCACCAGCTGCCGGACCTCTTCGCGAACGACATCCGTTAGAGCAGCAACATGGGGCGGAGAAGACACCACGTGCAGCTTTTGCAGCTCCTCGCGCACAATACTACGCACGAGTTCCGTCAGGTCTTTTACAGTCGTGACGTCAGGTGTTGGCAGGGCCGACGACACTGACGAAAGATTGCCAGGACGCTCATACTGGTACGAACGCTGCCTTAGCATTCTCTCCATTGTCGTGGCTTCGCGAAGGAAATCCTCTACAGTGCTGGGAGGGTTCCGCACTAGTCCCACGAACAGCTGCTCTTTCACTCCCCGCATTAGGAGGCGCACCTTCTTCTCTTCCGTCATTGAGGAGTCGGCTCGCCTGAACAGCCGCGACGTGTCCTCAACGAACATGGCAACATTCTCGTTCGGACGCTGGTTTCGGGAATTGAGGAGCCGTTCCGCTTGCTCCTTTCGGTCAGAGCTTCGAAAGGTATTTCGCAACTGGTTGCAAAACTCTGGCCAGGTTGTCATAGTGGCTTCATGGTTTACGAACCAAGGTCGTGCAGAGTCCTCGAGATAAAAGTAGACATACCGAAGCTTTCGCTGCTCGTCCCACTCGTTGACGCTGCCGCAACGGTTGTAGTCGTCAAGCCAGTCGTCGACGTCCTCGTAAGGGTCACCGTCGAACGGCTTCGGAGTTCACGGGACGTTGAAGAACCATGGAGAAGGCAGCGTTGATGTTTCTCTGGTTTGCGTTCCCGCACTAGCCATAGTACTGCCGAGTTGTGGAAATGGTCCGAATTCAGGAGGTAGGCCTAGTTGTCGCCTACTACGCCGTAGGTCAGCTGGTTCTTCCAAGTCGCGACTAGTGTCGGGACCTTGCTGCTGATTGTAGTGCATACAACACTACCCCGCACCTCCACCAGAAAATGTCACGTGATCACAGAACGACCACAATGCCTGTTCACAGGAGCAGCATTGGACGTCGAGCCGAACCGAACGTTAGAGCACGAGCACACCAACCGTCCTCTTCTTTCACACCATGGCACATACTCGCATTGGCTTGGCTAAACCTCGTTCCATGCCTCTGGCAATATCATCGGCAAAATATCAATAGTAAACAAAGCTTGAAAAGTATTTTACATGAATTCTGGAGTTTGCGTGCGCGATCGTGTGGACACCTTCAAAAGGACACCACGGTGACCCCCTCCTTCCGTCACGTCATTACGTGACAATCAGTACAGCAAATTATGATGACGTCATAGTCACCATTTTTTCTTTTGTCGCGTATGCTCTAGCGCACCACTGCTCGGCTGCTGCTCGTGACTCCGTGGCCACGGCGCACGAATCGAAAGTTTTGTGTTAGGGGACTTCTTGGTGTGGACTGTGCGGAAGTGTGTCACAGTTCCGTGTGCTGACGTGTCGATAGTTGCACACGCTTACTGGATATGTTTCACCCGGCGGATTGTTGTTTCTGGATCTCTCTCAAACCGACACTGATACTGATCGGTCATGATTGAGGAGCCTGTAATTAAGCATCTATCACGCATTGCACCAAACGGTGTGCCATGTTATGATTAAAAGGTCCCCTGCAACACATTGCAGCAAAAATAAAAAAACAAAATGCGAGGCCAAAGTTTTTGTGCTATTATAATCCTCTATTAATACAAATTTATCTGCGATGGTAACTCTGCAATGCCCGTACTGAAGATTAGGGTCGTTAAACCGTATACAACTTATATTTCTTCGCTCTTCTGCAGGGGCCAGAATCAACCCACCAGCAGCAGCGGTGGAGGTGAAGGTGATGGCGATGAGAGTGTATCCAACAGCGGTAGTGATGACAGCAGCGCTCTCTCGTACCGAGGGTCGGCGAAAGTGGACCTGACGCGGCATACCCTGCCCGGACAACGCGACACGCTTGTTGCCAGGTTTTCCCTGCCTGCTGTGGTCAGTGGCAGCTTTGTCTGTCGCAATTTGTTCTAAGTTCAGCGATGTATGATTTTAAGGACGAGTGCGCACATTAATATCCGTGAAGTATGTGCGCAGGTTCCGGTGCGAAATTCGAAAGTGGAACTTTAACCTTTACTTTCGCCCCGGTTAATAAGCATGTGATGGCAAATTAACATTAGAGTTTTCACAGTACAGTATCAATCGCTTCACAGGGACCCGAAAGAGAAAAACAATTTTTTCGCGGATTAGTAAAGCACAATTTCTTAATTCTGAAAACACCAAAGTAACTGTGACACGACTCTTGGTAAGCGAGAAAAGGTGAGAGAAAAAAAATACGGGTGGAGACGCCATCTTGAGATTCCCGCTGCAAACACGGTGACGTCACAGATTCTGAAGGCGTCTACTTGGTCCTACGTATCTTCTAATCGATAAAATTGACATCTGTAGAGTCCGCAGACGTAACGTACGAAGTTTGAGAAAATTTCATGGTGCAATATCGCAAAAGAATGAAAAGTACATTTTGAAAATTTCGACGTCACGCGCTGGAGATTTCGGCGCGAGGGGTAAAAATGAAACTTTAGCCTTAATTTTAACTTATGATAGTGAAATATATGGCACTTGAGTTCTCAGAGTGCAGTTTGTCATTCTAATCCAAGTCATTGTTTTTGTCTGGTGTCCTTTAATAATCCCTTGAGGAAGCTTTACTGAGGTGAACTTTGCCGCCGCATAGTGGTGTGCTGCGGTGAAGCATTTGCAACGCGTTGTGGTGAAGCGTCTGAAGCAGTGGGAGTTTTCTCTTGCAGTGAAGTATACCAGCTGTGGATGTTTGAAATCAGCAGATCGTTAGGCTACTCAATATAAACGAGTGTCGTTGTGGTGTATTTACAATTATTAGTAAGCACCTGATATTAACATGGAATAGCTTTAGGCATTAAATGTGGAAGTGTTTTGTATCACGCAATTTCCCCATTTTCGTGTTCCTTCGTCTCCGTCCATGCTTGCAATGAAGCCGACATTAGTTTACGCATCACCGTGTGTTTTTTCTCGCTTAAAAACACTATTTTCTTGTTCCCACGTCCCATTAGAGGGCAAAACTGCAATTTCGATCTTCAAAAAGGAAGTGGACAGGAGAAGATTGATATGTTGGGCTTAACATCTCAAAACCACCATATGATTATGAGAGACGCCGTAGTGGAGGGCTCCAGAAATTTCGACCACCTGGGGTTCTTTAACGTGCACCCTAATCTGAGAACACGGGCTTACAACATTTCCGCCTCCATCGAAAATGCAGCCGCCGCAGCCGGGATGGGCAGAAGAAAGAGGGATTGTTCTAATGAAATCCAGGGCCTGCACAGTGCAGCCCCACAAACTGCTGGTTGCTAACACGATAGAATCATGTTTCTCAGTATGAGTTCAAATGCAAAGTTTGGCACATCAATGTGAAAAAATGTGGGTTTGATGGAAGATGTGAATTCGTGCTCTTGTAAGGCATGATGCTTAATGTAACAGGTTTTTTTGTTGGTTATGAAGACCATTACACTTACTTCTCACATCTGAGGCTGTGTATCCAGGCTTTGTGAGAGTGAAGCCATGTTTCGTTGTCTTTTGTGACGAGCCCTCGCTATGGTTCACATTACCATTCTTATACCTCAAGTATCAGAATGTTGTAGGAGTATACATAGACAGTCCATTTATAAGCTAAACATGAAAGCTTAGAAAATATATGCAACAAGTAGAAATGGGAATGACTGAATAGGAAATAGGACAGCATGTTGTGTCTTCACAAGAGAGACCACACACAATGCTGTTACCTCACGCCCTTGCAAATGTGAACTCAAAGTGGAACTCGACATTTTTCAACTCTGTTAACTACCCCTTCTTGAATAGAATGCCAAAATCTGCTTGGAGCCCTTGTACAATCTTTGACTTCAGTTTCTCTCTGCAAAATTGTTGAAGGACCGAAAGACTTTCTTCCTGCTGTTTCTGGATAAGCTGAATGGATGGTAATTTTGTTCAGTGTACTTCAGAGCTCTCCAGATCATGCTTTACTTTATGTTCCTCATTGCAGAAATCAGGTTCATCACTGGCACTTGACATGGCGGACGACCACGTGCGGCTTACAAGTGAAGAGCCAAAGTATACGTTTGACTTCTACCTTCCCTTCTCCGTTGATGAAGGTGCCACAGTTGCAGAATTCAACACTAAGCATCAGGTAACTTATATCATCAGCTAGTCTTCATATCATGCTTTGACCGTTATGAGTTGCACTTGAAGGGGTGGTGCCATCAAGTTTCAGGGCTATAACAAGCCTCTTGTGGGTTTCCTTTGTATGCAAAAACTGTCTGGGTTAACTGGCGGAACACGGGAGAGGCCTTTGTCCTGCAGTGGACGTAGTCAGGCTGATGATGATGATGATGATGATGTAAAAACTGTCAGACACAGCAAACCTGTAGATTATATTCACTTCTGAATTCACTTCTCAAGTGTACCTAAATTCTCATTCTCCCGATCGATGCACATCGCTAGCTTGTTCAACACTCGTGCAGCTCTGTAGAAAGGGCAGCGATAGTTTTAGTGAAGGCACACTACATGTGTAGTGAAGTAAGTGACTTCAGGACCTCTGCCACGTACGTACCGGCAGAGCACCATGGTGGCTGCAGCTAGCGGCACATTTGTTTTTCAGGTGCTTGTGTGAGCCATATGTGCGAGAGCAAACGATACTCGACTGATGCGCGTCAAATCTTTGTGGGGTCACGGGACTGAGCCACCTACATTGCTACGTCATTGTGCAATTTGACGCCCGGAAACAGAAAATCATCCACAAAATAAGGCAATAATAAATATTTAGCAAGAGTACATTTCAAAACTTCATGAATTGCCAACTCGCCCAATCAGTCGCTTTTGAAGCTAGGCACTATAAATGATATTTTTTTTTGTTCTGATGGGCCAATAAAATAGAAATAACAGAGATGTTGGGAGGAATTCATTACAAGTGTACAGCTTATCTTTGCAGTAGTTAAAAGTATCTAACTTTCTCATTTTGTCTGGTTTTGCAGGTACTCACAGTCACTGTGCCCATTCTGCCTGACGAGTCCTGATTATTTCATTATCAGCAGTTGAAGTTTATATGTTGATGGAAAAACTGTACTGATTGTGAAAGTGCACCCAAATAAATTGTTGTTGATTTTCTATTGCTAGGCCAAGGCTGTTCAAACAAGAAAGCTGTTTAAACCAAGCTGTTCATACAAGAAAAACAAAATATAACACTGGTGCATTTTACAATTTCAGGCCTGCTTGTTTGCACAAGTGCTTGAAAAAGGCAGTCAATATGCAGGGTTTTCATATTTAAATTGGCCTGTTCCAGATTTTTTATGCTGGCTTTCCCCCAAATATTTTAAGCTAGACCACTCCAAAAATTTTGCAGTTTAGTACAGCCCCAACTCTTTTCGATTGTCTCATGCCAAATTTTAAGCAGGCCATCCCCATACCGACAAATCTGACTTCGGTGAACCCCCAGTGTAGGCTTTTTCTATGCATTATATATACGCTCCTCTTTATTTCATTGGAGACAAAGTGACAGCCTTTGTTTGCCCATGAACAGTGTGGTTTCTGCTTCAATTTTTCCGTAGTACTTGCCAAAGAAAGCTTGCATGGTAAATGGTCCTAAAGGAAGCAAAAAATATTGAACCGAAACTGCATATTTTTTTTTCAAGTGCTGTTGTGAATTCATTCTAGACCATTCTGAACAGCCTAAAATGTGGTGACACATTCTACTGTAGCTATGTATACCCTTAGTAAGGGTAAAAATCCTTGAACAGGGCTGTCCATTGTTTGTTTAGACAGGCAGACTTGTCTTTGTAAAGGCAGCAGTTGCTTTACTAAGCACCATGCATGTGTAGGCCTTCATTGCTTTCTCGCAATGGTGGAAAAGGCAGAGGAAGAAGAGAAAGGAGAGAGAACGAACTATGTATAAAGTAAAAGAAAGTTGGAAGTGTGTCTGCGTGCTTTGCTGCAAATATTCTTGAAATACGATATTGTTCTGTCTAGAGGCATTGTGTGACAAAGACGCCATCTGGCAGTAATGTCGTAAAACAACAGCTTGTGTTTAAGACCAATCCACTGGTAGGTGGCAGCGCCGTATCGTCTTCAAGCGCAAGAAACTTCTGCTTTTTCGTGCATGGCGTTACATATTCAGTGCAGCATATGAAACAATGGGGTCTTTAGAATTACTTATCTGTCGGATTTCAAACAATGCCTTCAGGTGAGGGGTCTGAATCCCTGACAGTTCGCTTCAGAATCGGCTGCGTCCTGGCAAGTGTACTGACTTGCAGCATTTTCATAAGATGCAGCTGTTTTAATTGTGGAGCTGTTTGAGCTTGTCGTCTGATTGAGGAGAGGGGGCACAGCTAAGGCCTCGGCGTTGCATCGCGGGGGAAAGAGAGGCCATTAACTGAAAGCCTGACTACACGTGGGCGTGTAGTCACCTATGTGGAAGGAGAGAAGGCGCGGCGAGGCGTCAAAATACCTCGTGCTGACGTGCTCCGACGGATACGTGTGGTCAGAAAAGGGCGTAGCTCATAAAAGCCTCTACGTGCCACAACCAGGACATTATTATGAGGCACACAGTAATGAAGGGCTCGGGAAACTTCTGCAATCTACTGGTCTTTGACATGCATTGACGTTTAGCAGTACACGTGCCTCTGAGGTATCGCCTCCACCAAAATAAAATATAAGCGCTTGAGCTTCGCGTGACACATTTTGTTACTTCTCGCCCATATCATGCGGATCCCGCGTTAAGGCACGCGTGGTATGATTGAAAAAAAAAGCTTATTCGCGAAATGAACGATGATGAGTGGGGCTGAAGCGTCCGTCATTCCGTCCGTACGTGCGCCCGTCCGTGCATCCGTCTGGCCGTGTGTCTTTCTGTCTGTCTTTCTGTCTGCTTGTCTGTCTGTCTGGCCGGGCGCGTCTGTTCACTTAGTGAACGCTTTAAGTACCGCCATCTCGCTTTTCTTTTTATCATATATTCATCATATACAAGTACCATTATCCAGCGGACAATCCAAGGACTAAACGAGAGTATGTACCACATTTCTCCTGTCAGCGCTTTCTAAACACCGAGAGCGTGATAACGATGCCAAGCTACCTTTTTCGTAACATGTAGACATGTGGATATGTGCCCTAGGGCCGGTATTTGCCACTGGTATGCGGGTATGTGCCACAGGTTACGCACTAGGACAAGATGGCTGGCTTGTGGGGATGCACAAGCCATGCCATAAGGAGCTTCGCACCAAAAAAAAAAAATGCGGGCAGGTTGCAGTGTGAAATGGCACAGCGTGGCACACAAAATGAAAGGCTTGAAAGATCACACACGGACATCGCTGGCTTTTAGCTGGGGTGTGTTGCACACGGCACATGCGCGGGAAAAAAATATCAGCAAAAGAAAAAGGAAATTTCGGCAGATCCTATGTACCGTGGGAATCGATGTTATGCAAAGGTAAGGCGACTCTGGGGTTCGACTCTTGCTGGAACCCTGACATTTTTATTTACATTTGTCGGGTCAATGTAGCCGATGTCGGCTTTTTATGAACACCCGCTCGTTAAAACTATCCATCTGTGTTCTCCTCGTCACTGGGTAGATATGAAGTGTCACACACCCGCCCGTGGGTATGTGTCAATGTCTGGCGGGAAGTGTTTGACGACGTACGCGATGGGACTTTGACGGACGTTATTCATGTCAGCACCAACTGAGCTGTATTCGTCAAATTTTGGTTTACCCTATGTTTAAGGGGTGATTTTAAGAGAACCCAGCCAATGCCACCTGGAAGGCCTGCTCACAGTGTCGGCCACGGGCTCTGACGTCGCTACGTTTTGACCAGGGTGTTTCTCTGCACATACGTTGCTACGCTTGCTCTCGTCGCTCGACAGACATGGATTGCCAAGCCGGGCGAAAGTTTTTGTGGCGTGCTTGTGTTCTTATTGGTGACTTGAAAAAAACTATTTCTGTGTCCGTGAACTGCAGCGTGGGTATGTGATGCATTTTATGCACTGGATATTCACAATCTGTACGGCCGGAAATCCGAACGGTTGGCCGATGTTGCGTGGCGAATTGTCGCGGCAAAGGGACCGATGCTGCGAGTGTTCTCGTTTCCTAAACACAACCGAAGCACAAAATGGGAGCTTGTCATTCGTCAAGCTGACGTCAACATCCGTTTTCTTCGTGACCTGAAGGTACGTGTGTCCGTACTACATATTTTAAAGGAACACTGACATCAAATTTCAAGACCGAGATGTGCCCATCATTGGATCGCTTGGTATGCATTAGTCTTCTTGGCCAAATTTGATTTGCATCCGTCGCGTGGAAGTTATTTTGATTCGATGTCAAACAGCGTAGAAAAGCTAAAGAGGAAAAAAAAACGGAAAATAGACTTCCCTGCGACATCGATACTAGTGCTACGTGTTCAGTGTGATACATTCCACAAATACCATTTTGAGTTACGATACACTAGTAAGAATGACGTCGATGATCTGAGTGTGTTTAGAGCCGACTTCCTGGCCATGCCCTCACTAATAATTCTCCTTGCTGTGTTAAAGCTTGCGTGCGATTCATCGTGTCGCAGCGACTGATTGAACAAGTGCTCCACAGCGTGAGTACCTCAACGCAGCTAGTGGGTTGACTTCGTACGCGTCGATGGACAGAGCAACGTTACTAGATACTTTTCCAGTTGTCAAACTCCGCCTGGACCGCCGCACAAACTTGACCCCTCTCTGTTTACTGCCGCCAGGGGCGCTCGCGCCACGGTCGGCCCGATCGAGCGCGTCGGCGCGCAGCTGAACAGGCAACTTTCCCCTGCAGTTCAGCGCAGTAGCGGGTGCTGTTCATAGGTTCTGCATGCGTTTTCGGCTAACATTTTCCTTCTATTTGAGGCAAGTTGCCTGCTATTATACAGAAAACCGGGAAAACGCAGACTGGGCGGCTTGTATTGCTCGCGAACTTTCGATAAAGAAAGCACCGCGTATCGCGAACGTGCGTCAGCACGTTGGTTAGATTAGAACAGCTAGATTAGAACAGCTAGTGGTTAGAACAGCTAGATTATTTTCGCACACTATCACGCCCACTCGCACGCGTGGTTGCTTGTGGCAGTTGGTATAACAAGTTGCTTCTTGAAAGCGCGAACTACCGGCGAGGACAAGAGAAAAACGTCAACTCAAAGCGCTCGTACTCACCTTTGCAGCAGCCCGGCTCCTAGCTCAGCAGCGGACGCCGACGAAATGTATGCACGCCCTGACAAACATTTATTTTACGCACAAGCAGGAGTGCTTCACATATCCAAAGAGCCAAAGTAACGGGCCAGCACACACTTAAAACACAAACGTACACACATTCAAAGAACCTTATTCGGCTGCTGCGTGATTGCTCACAGCAGGCGGGCCTTTTTGTTCGCTATTGCCACTTTTTGGCTGCTTCCGAGGCGGCGGTTCACATCCCGCGAGAAGAAATGCATGCGGGTGATGATAAAAAAGTTCAGCAGTTGGCACGTGAATGCTGAATTGTGCTGGTCACAGCCGAGTCGAGAAAGGTGGTGCTTCTCCAACTCTTCCAACACTTTCCAAAATATGTCCCCGCAGAGATCCTCCTTGTCCAGACAAGCTGAAACTACTTTGCTGACTATTTTAAAAAACGTCAACATCTTCTGTGTTGGATGCTTTAAGCTGCCTTGCTTGAAGCTCCTGTAGTCGGTTAGGTAGCTGTCAGAAGCAAGCACAGGTGTGGCGCAGCTGATGTCTTCTATGCAGAGATGGCATGTTGCATGCTTGGTGAACTTGTGTATGACATAGCCACACAGGTAGTACACAACACTGTCCTCCACCTCACCCTTGAAATAGGCGTGGTCGCTTGGCCCTTGCTCAGATGTGTCAGCAGAAGCAGTTGTAATTTCCATCATTTTGGCTTCCACTATGTCATGCAGGCGGACTTTCTCTTCTTGGTGGGCGTCCTTCGTTATCTTAAGTGTGTCAGTCACACTAACGAGCACAGAACAGGGTGTGCCTTGCACACTGCCACGCAAAGCTGTCTTTACCGGTGTGTAGAGGCTGAGGAGGCGGAATATCTGACTGAAGTTGACAACCGTTGGATGAGATTCGTCACCTCCAAATGACCGTGCCAGTCCGAAGTGTCGCTGAAAAAGACATGCCT